AAATTTCACGCATTTCTCAAACCACCGTCAAGACTTTCTTTTCTTTTTCCCCTAACTGTAGCATTACACAGTTGCATGCAAAAGTGGAAGAAATATGGGTGATCATGCTGTGTTTACTATAATGAAACTGAGTAAAAATTAATCGCAGTATTATGGCGGGGAGGGAAGTTGTTTGCAAACTGATAGTTTTCGATGCCAGCGGCAAAAAACGATATTCATTCGTTTTTGATCAGATTTTTGTTCGACCCAATAAATGACCCTGTTTTGTGTCCTTTCACTGCAAGCACTAAAGTACAGCGAAGCAGCAACCAGCTAAAATGGTCCTAATACTAACTACTAGAAGAAATGATTCGGTGAGATCAAGCAGTGTGAAGCTGGAGAAGTGACAGCAGATAATGAAATTGATTGACCCACTGAAATGGAAATGAATTTACACATAAAACAAAGTAATGCAAGAATGAATTAAGTTTCTGCTTGACTTAAGACGAAGAAATTTATGCAAAAACAGCAAAATCAAGTTAAAGTACTGAAAGGCGAAACTTCAAAAAGAGATTACATATATTTCGTAAAAGTGTCAATTCCGATGGAAAGCTGTTACCTGTTTAACAAACAACTTTGAGACTGCTTTCCAAAGTTTAAGGTGGTTAAAATGACTCGGATCCATAAAATACCATTGTCCTTCATTTCTGAGGGAAAAGCGGACCTGAAAAGAAGATTACTTAAACTGTTAACAACAGAACAATGATATTCAATTATAATTCAGTAAAAAGGTTGGATGTAGAAAGAATTTAAAACAGTTACTATTGCCAAAAGGTACTCGTTTATTGATTTCAAAAGGTATTCATGGCAAGCGATTCATTGCTGATTGTAGGAGGAAGCAGCCAGAGCATGGAGAAAACTCTCCTGGTTTTGTTGTTGATATATAAATATGCTGTTTGAAAAATCCGCGTTATGGTGTAAATTCGTGCTTATCTGCTAGAGACAAACTGTAGATAATAATCAGCACAAGGGGTATATTATATTCTTATTTTTACACAAATCATTAGGTAAAAAACAACTGGGTTTACACCTTATGTGATCACATTGGATAGCAAAATATCAAGTGGGACAAGGCGAACTACTGCGCTTGAATCAGACTGCATGGTTGTTCTCACCCATTTTGGTAGGAGTACATCAGAACACAATGCTACTCTTATTACTGTTCGCAGATAAACGACCTGCCGTCTGTTTGTCGGATGCTTATACGAAAGCAGCGTGAAGCTAATTACTTGTTCAGTGGAATTAGTTATTACAAGAACCTCTGTTCTAATAACTGAATTTTTCATCTCCTAGTACGAACACGACCTGACACCATCGCTCCCCCCTCAATGAGCAACCTTAAAGTACGAAGTGAAGTACACTATGTAATTACAATAAAACTCAGAAAAAACACGAAACAGAAATTGAGATATGAATCGATCCACAATTAAAACTTGAACATATATACCGGATCAGTAATGGGGCAGATGAACGGTTGCAGCGATTGTTCTTGACCGATAGACAGTTTATCCGTCACAGCAGTAGCTATCTGTCGCACTAACGAATTGCGGCATCCTGCAAGACGGAAGGTGAAGAGCCTTGCATCTAAATAACTGAGTCGAATGAACGTATTTGCATTCTAAATTAAGAATTTATAAACTTTTAAAATTCATACCCATCGCTAAGGCGGTCCAATTTCCACGTTAGATTTTACGTTTAATGTTAATACTTGAGAATCAGGTACTACAATACAACACCTGATTAACATCTTGTGTCATTTGATGGTTTTCGCTGCTTTGCAGTTAGACGTAAATACCGTCAAACTGGCTGATTTGGCTACTCGTCCGTACGGTCAGCATTCAAGGAAGGTGCTTGGCCCGATGTCAGTACCATCAAGCAGTGC